GGAGCCAAACGGAGCCAAACCAAACGGAACCATACCAAACCAAACGGAACCAAACCAAACAGAACCAAACCAAACCAAACCAAACGGAACCAAACCAAACCAAACGGAACCAAACCAAACCAAACCAAACCAAACCAAACCAAACCAAACCAAACCAAATCAAACGGAACCAAACCAAACGGAACCAAACCAAACCAAACGGAACCAAACGGAACCAAACCAAACCAAACCAAACCAAACCAAACCAAACCAAACCAAACCACACCCCACCCCAACCCACCCCACCTCACCACACCAAACCAAACCAAACCAAAAAAAAACAAAACAAGACAAGACAATTGCTCTTATGCATCACACCCCTATACGTACTACATGGTGTGCCCTGCAACAGGGCAAGCAGATAAACATGGCTAAGTGATTGAGTGACCTCTGGCCACATCCATTAGGTAGGGAGCAACACCGCCAGACTCCGATTAACTCACTGCCTCAATACCGCGGCCACATAACTGCAAAAATATCAGTGGCGAAACGAGTAACAAGAGAAGCAACGGTAAAAACTACCAAAAAGTGTGTGTGCAGTGCAATGAGAATTTCTGAGGCTGGTGGCCATAGCCGCCCAGCCAGGTGTACACAAATTTGTGAGTTCTCAATAATAATAATAAAAAAGAGAGAGAATTGATGAGGGACACCGAAATTGGAGAAAAAAAAAAAAAAAAAAAAAGCCTGAAAGAAGGGTTTCAAATTCCGATTATTTTGTAAATACACCAAATATTAGTCCTTTGGAACATCCATTAGAAATTGGAATGATACAGAGCAGATTGGATCGTAAGCAAGGATTGGGGGGGGGGGCGGGGGGGGAGTTGAAATAACATCACGGCCAAATGTTGCTTATTAAAACAAAACAAAAACAAAAAATTGTTTAGTAGTGTTTACCAGTTGTTACAAGTGTGTAGTACACCATGCAGCCAGCAGGGAGATACTGTGCTGCTCAAGTAATTGTTTTTATTGGATTCGTTACGTAACTCTTTTTCCAGAATTTCTCCTTTTTTTGTCTACACTTTTTTTGCAGGGGAGCATCGGTGTACGACCACCCCAAAGTGGCCAATGAATGAAATTTGCACAGTATGTCATACATGTACGCTTGCTGACTATGTCATGCACAAACATGTGGTGAACCGTGAAGCAAGGTACCTGGCAGCTAACTCCTAATCGGTGAGGGATGACGTCAAGGCTTCATGTCCTGTGAAAGTACTATAGTAATGCCAGTCCTTATCCAAAAGCCGGCAAAAGAAGCAACATAAAGGACAGGACCATCAGAACAGGATCAGCCGGGAAAGCCCAGCACTTTCTGCAATTGGAGGCTCTACTGACCGTCAATCCCGCATGATGGTAGGCAACGCCTGCAGGAAGTGTCTTCTCTAAGACATCACAGAGGCCAGCCGGTGTTCTTTTGAGCAGTTCCACTGCAGCCTGACCATCCTCGGGCCCATCACTATGAGCTCTTGCCTTTGCCCGAAGCGGGGAAGGCCCACTGAACTGGGGAAGCAACTTCGCCAGTAACCCAGCCGTATTTTCGCATGCTTTTCGACTCTGGCAAAACAGCAGTACCGAGTGGCCATCCTTGACAACCTGCAGACAATTTACACATCATTAGTCAATATCAACCAATACTACTGTCTTCGCCCAAATAGAATGCCTGGTCATTATAGCTGCATCTAGACTAAAAGGCGCGCCAAATACAGCTATTGCGAGGCTCCAGGCCTCCGCGGCACCCAGCAGGAGCCACTTGAACCGATTTACCCCGGCCCTGAGTGGGCCGGCTGTAAAGATGTAACTGCCAGGCAGAAAAGTAACTGCCACGGCAAATGGAAGCCAGTATAAGCTGTTGAGAAGCTCCCGGTGCTGGAAGAGCAGTCCTCGATGAAGCAGCCGCTTGACAAAAGCATTGGGGGCAGTTGCTGAGGGGCATTTCGGCACTTGGGAGGCGTCTCGGCTAAGTGTGCTAAGAATAGTGCAGCAGAAGCTGGTTGGCCCCGGTGCGTTGAGGACGAAGGAGAGAGCCGGAGCGGTCAAGCGGTTCTTCCTGTGGCAGCCATAGCTTCCCCGGATGAAGATGGGGTGTGCAGGGGCTTGGGAGGGTGTGAAGAGGAACAGCGATGTGCAGTGGGACTTACCTGATGGTGGCCGACGAGCATTGTTAGTGAGGAAGAAGAGCGAAAAGACTATGAGAAACGAAGGCGGGAGTGTGAAGTAGGAAGTAGGCAGATTAAGACAGAAAGTGGTAAAGGTGGTTAGACTAAAGAAAACAGCTATACTGATTCTTGCCAGAGTTACCCGCCCGAACATGAGCGTGAGGGGCGGGTCTCCACCCCCCCCCCAAGCGTTCGGGTGTCCGGCCGAACGTGAGGAGGCCGAACTTCCCAAAGTTTGGCCCCCGCCACAAATTTCGGGGCCTAAAAAAAAATGATTTTTATTAAAATTATTTTGAATTTAATTTGGTGAGTTCTGTAGCATGTAGGGTACATGCCTATAAAGTTTCAGGGCATTTGGCTGATCCCAAAAAAAAAAAGAAAAATGGCCAAAGAAGGTGATGTCAACAATGTGCTTGCCCACTCACTTTTCTTTCCCTTTTCCCTTTTTCCCTTTTTCTTTTCTTTTTCTTTAAACCATTTTTCTTTCCCTTTTCCCTTTTTCTTTTCTTTTTCCTTAAACCATTTCAATGTGTGTGTGTGCATGTGTGGTAGTGTGTGTGTGTGTGTGGGGTAGGGTGTGTTTTAGATTTTCCCCACAACAGCCCCAATTCCACCCAGGTGAATAGATTCAGAATCAAAGCAGTCTTTGTCCTATTGCAGACAACGAGAGCATTTGAGATGTCCAACATATTAAATCAATTTTATAATTAGACACTAGGCTACCAGAGTGGCCCGGGGTCACTTGCCCGGCCGGGCCAAAAATAAATAAAAAAATAAAAATAAAACAATTATTTTTAAATTTTAATTTTTATTCTAACTTTGGTGAAGAATTTCGATGTGATCCTGAGGCAAAAGTTGTTTAGTTTATTTTTCTGCATAACATAGTTGTTTTCGGATTTTTTGGAATTTTTTATTTTATATTTCTTTTTGTTGGGACCTTCCCTGGTCTTTGCACGGCCTGGCCACCCGGGACCCGGGCGGCCCGGCTGGTAGCCTAGATTAGACAGTTTTTTGGTTGTCCTTGGGGTACCCCTTTCATTGTTCTTGCAGCTCCCCTTTTACTGTGCCTCTTACGCACAAGGCTGCCCACGTTGATTGTGGTTGAGTGTGTGTGTGTGTGTGTGTCTGTGTTTGAGAGAGAGAGAGAGAGAGAGAGAGAGAGAGAGAGAAAGAAAGAAAGTCTCACACACACTAACGTGCGGAGTTTTTTTTTCCCCTTATCAAATATATTCAATCAATGATCAATCAATAAGTCAATCAATTAAGTAGCTGGTGATCCAACGTGAAAAAAAATAAAAAAATTATAGGCCGGAGATCGGACGTCTCCCCGGAGGTAAGGTACCCCCGTCGTCCGGATTTCCGGACGACGACTTTTTCGCACTAAAAAAAATAAAATAAAATTATGACAGTGTTGCGCATGCCATAGAGACCCCCCCCAAAAAAAATCAGAATTTTCTGAGCATTTGGTGATAGGGTGCTATTTGGGGTGGGAGGGGGGGTTACGAGGGGTTTTGGTGGGGATAGGAGGGGTATAGGTGGGGATTAGAATCTTTGAAGATTTTTATCTTTTTTTCTACTGGCTCAAATGAGCCAAAATTTTCGTGGCATACACCTTATGCAAGGTAGAAGCCACATGATTTTTTTTATTTTTATTTTTGCGCTAGATCGGACATCCCCTTTCCGGTCCGACGTCCGACCAGAAGTCGGGTCGGACATCCCGGACGGTCACGGGGGTCCCCGACGTCTGTTAAAACAACCTAGCTACCAGAGTGGCCCTTTTGCCCGTCCGGACCCAAAACATAATAATAAAAAAATAAAATATTATTGTCTATTTTATATTATTTTCTAGCTTTCCAGCCCGGGCGCCCGGGCCACCCCAGGTCACCCGGAAGGGGGGCGCCCGGCCATGCAACCCCCCCAGCCAGGCACCCGGGCCCCCACAGCACCGCCCCCCAAATCGCTTCAAAAAAAAAAATCCACGCCGTGGGCTGAAGGTCCACAGGGAAAAAAAAAAATCTGCCGGCGGCCGCAAATTTTTTCGGGGTCCGGTAGGCCCCATTTCGTTTTGTTTTTTTTTTTGCACCGGGACGCAGATCGACGGCACAGAAGTCCCAAGGTTTTGAATTCAAATCTTGGGACTCCGCGCGCAGCCCTGTGCCCTCCGCCCTACCCCCCCGCGCCAGGTCGTTTCCCTGCCTCGGTCGACCGCGCCGTTGTCGCCCTGCCGTGGTCGTCCGCGCCATCGTCATCATTGCCCTGCCGAATCATCGTCGTCGTCACCCTGCCACCCTCAGGCCGCGCCATCATCGTCGCTGTCAAGCCGCGCCATCCTCCTAGCCCCCGAGGAAGAGTGCTTGCGCCGCCATCGCCCACTAAGGTAAGGTTTTTTTTTCTTCTTCTTCTTTTTGTTGTTCCTGTTGTTGTTGTTGTTGTTGTTCTTCTTCTTCTTCTTCTTCTTCTTCTTCTTCTTCTTCTTCTTCTTCTTCTTCTTTGTCGTTTCGTCTCATTCTTCTTCCTCTTCTTCTTCTCCTCCATTTCGTCGTGTTCTTCTTCTTCTTCTTCTTCTTCTTCTTCTTCTTCTTCTTCTTCTTCTCCTTCTTTGTCGTTTCGTCTCATTCTTCTTCCTCTTCTTCTTCTCCTCCATTTCGTCGTGTTCTTTTCTTTCTTCGTCATTTCTTCGTCTTCTTCTTTTTCTTCTTTGTCGTTCCTTCTTCTTCTATATCTTCTTATTCTTCATCGTTTCTTCTTAAAGTTTCCCTCCTTCTTCATCATCTTCCTTCTTCTTCTATATCTTCTTATTCTTCATCGTTTCTTCTTAAAGTTTCCCTTTGTCTTCATCATCTTCCTCTTCCTCCTCTCCTTACTCTATTCAGTTTGTCTTGGACGCCACAGTCTTCTTCTTCTTCTTTCTTTCTTCTTCTTCGTTAGAGTTGTGCTCCTAGTAGCCTCCTACCTCCTCCTACCTCTGTTAAAGTTCTGCTCCTACCTCCTCGTACCTCCCGCCATAGTCCTCCGTCCTCCCTCCCGCCATAGTCCTCCCTTCTCCATCCCGCTATAGTCATCCCTC